TCTATCTATCTCATTCTCTTCTTATCAATTTACTTTCAGCCTGTATCTATCTATCTATCTATCTATCTATCTATCTATCTATCTATCTATCCTTACTTTTCATTTCGGACTAGCTTTAATTTCTTCGCATTTATCCTTCTCAGTGATCCGGATGTGCGGGTGATGTAATGGATAGCAGCACAGAATAAAATGGGGGAGCTCATTTCGAATTCCAGTTGGTTCGTTACCTTTTCATACATGTAAAATACATTTGGGAAAGGTATGAATCTATCTCCTCCTCGCCCCCAACTATGTATTAAATAGCAGGGCTTGTATCTGGAATTTTTTTTATTCTCAGAACATTGTTAAAACACTATTCACCCACAAAAGTAAAACAGCTTATTCTTACAATCCCAAATATGGTTCAGCCTTAGATAATCCACCAGGGGTTGATAATCCATAAAAAATCAAATCAATCAGTTACTACTTTTTTTTTTCATTTTTCTATCTATTTACCTATTTCTGTTCACTTCGTTTCATGTCACCCTACGCGATCTTATTTTATCATATTTACATCATTTTCTCTTTCTCTCTCTCTCTTTCTCTCTCTCTCTCTCTCTCTCTCTCTATCTATCTATCTATCTATCTATCTATCTATCCTCTCTTTCTCTTTTTACTCGTTGAATTTTTCAAACCACTCTCATAACACAGTGGCCGACCAGCTAAATCATATGATTTCCGTTATCTTTTTTTTATTGTAGTCGAAAGCATTGTGTTATTGGCGATTGAAGTAGAGGAAGAGGAGGTGAAGTTGAGCTGATGAGAAACTATCGTCATTTACTCAAGGGCAAAAACATTTAGAAACAAAGAAAGAAGCCGTAGTGCTATGACCTACCGACTTCTTGCTTTGTAGATCGATTAAATGCTGAACTAGGATACAAGGGGGGAAAATGGGTATTTGTGGTTCAATCACAATTTATTTACTGCTTTTGACTGATTTGGAATCTCCCCGTACGGCCATTTTCGTTTGTTTGTTTTTCTTTGTTTTGTACTTTTTGGTTTTTTCATCTTTTCTGTTTATTCGTCTCTTTCTTTATCATTTATTATTATTTTTTTTTTAATTCTTTCAAGTTTTTTACATTTCATTCTTCCTCTGCACTTTATGCTTTCTAGCCTTCGAATTTATCTCGGCACATTTCTCCTTAGAATTACAAGAACATTTGTCTTCTTTTCCCGCCACCCAGTAATTGCTTCTCTTTTAATCGTGTTGCTTTTACCCTTCCATTATTATTATTATTATTATTATTATTATTATTATTATTATTATTTCCTTTGATTTCTGGTGTGTACTCATTTCTTTCCGGGTCTAAGGTCAGAAATGGCATGATGACATTTTTCCATTGTGCAATTTAAAAAAAAATAACATTTTCCATAAAGCCCCTCATAAGGTGTAGGCTGTACTCGTGATAACTATCTTTTTTATTATTTCTTTATGGCTACCACGAATCCCTTCAATGAGTCTATTGGAATCTTTTTTCAATAAATCCGTGGAATTGTTGATGTTCTCATCTGCCACATGTTTGAGATTTCGATTTCAAGGTTCTTGTATTTTGATATTATTATCTTTTGCTTTCTGTTTAATACTTTCTCTTATCGACTCATTATCTTCAGGACGGGTAAACAACTCTGCTAAGTGTCTTTCCAAGAATCTCGATGTGACTCCCAGGTCACCTTGGCTGCCCCATCCTTCAAAATTAAGATAACACTCTTCTTGACCCCCGGAGATTTTGATATCCATCATAACCGTTAAGATTATTGTTATTATTATTATTGCTGTTGATGATGTTGTTGTTGTTTTGTTGTTTGTGTATGTTATGTTTCCTGCTTTGTATCCTGTAGAGTCAGGCCCTGTAGGAGAATTGTCATTTAATCGATAGCACTTTTCTTACTATATGGGATGTTTCTATTAGGGAGATTTTCTAGGCAACTTGTATGTTGATGTTATCTGGGACATTGATAGTAAAATTGTCCATTCCTTTTCTCACGAGGCCCAGAGCTTTGATTACTATTGGTACAGTCTCAGTCTTCGGGGCGTAAAACGGCTGAAACGTCATGAATATAGCAACAAAAATGAGGACAACAGTCCAAACAATGTAAATAGTTTAAATAATTACAATATTTATCTAAGAAGTATAGACGAACCCTGAACAAGGCCGTAGCGTGCTACGACTGAAACGTCATAAATATGGCAACGAAGATGAGGACAACAGTCCGAACAATATAAATAGTGTAAACAATTACAATACCTCATCTAAGAAATATAGACAAACCCTGAACAAGGCCGGAATGTACAACGACTGAAACGTCGTAAATATGGCAATGAAGATGAGGACAACCGTCTGAACAATATAAATAGTGTAAATAATTACAATAGCTCATCGAAGAAATAGAGACAGACTCTGAACAAGGCCGGAGTGTACAATAATGCAAATACTTTATTTTCGTTTTTTCTTTTTGTCTTTCTTTTCTTTATTTGCTTTAAACCTTCCTTTTTTTTTTTGCTCTTTTCTGTTTCAATTTTTTTATTCTTCCTTTCCTTTCATTCTACTTTTATCGTAAACACACAATGAAGCCCTCTCACCTTTTCCCCGACCGGGCGCATAACCCAACGTTGCGTCTCTATGCTCGTTCGCGTCGGTGTGCCTAAAAACTGGGAATGGTTCGCTGCACGTTCACAAGTGGAACAACAGGTAAAATCAGTGCCGCGGGGAGAAATTGTTGTCGAGTAGCTATCACTCCAGTACTCTACCAGATGGCCTGGCTCATAGCTTTAGTCTACGTTTAAGGAGTTCAACAGTTGATTAATAAGTCGATACTAAGCTGATTAGTATTCGGACTGATCTTGCTTCGTTTGCTTATACAGCATTTGACCCTCCTATATTTCTTGTAAGTTGTCTTGTTAATTGTTTTGTGATTTATTGTTCTGTGTCTTTTGAATGTATCTGTTAGCCCCAGATACTGGTGCTGAATAAATATATTAAGCACTCATTCTTCTCTGTGTATCATTCACCTCGATGATATAACAAAAAATGAAATCACGAATGCTGTTTCTCATAGAATCAGCTGCTTATTTCAGGAAATCAATGGCACGGTCAGCGTAGGTAGGACACGTGGGACAACTTCTGCCATGCCAGTCTAACAAATCAGCTTTTTTTCCTTCAACCATCAAGAACTATGATACTTTCCTCAAAACTCTCTGTCCATTTGTAAATCATGACTTGCAATTTCGGATCATTCTCTCGACGGGCATCATGTACCCGGTAACAGGCTGCCCGGGTATCATCCCAGTCCCAACTGTGATTATTATTATTATTATTATATGTTCGTATTAACGGGAAATTTATCCAAAGATCAGTTATTTGCCACTTGTTCCCAAATGTTTTCATTATTTATTTATCTATTTTGCTATTTTATTTAGACAAAAGTTCTCCTTAGTGGTTGCTTTTGAAGACCCAATTTCTGTATGTCTTTACCGCTGGTCTTTCAATGTGTTGTTTTGTTCCATTTTTTAAAACACCTATTACCACTGAGATAAAAACTTTTTTCGTCCTTTTTTTTTTTTTTTTTTTATTATTAACTATTATCATTACACTTTTCTTTTTAGGTTCGTGAACTTATCTTCCATTTCTTCTTTCTTTTCCCCCTTTTTTATTTATTTGTTTATTTTTTTTTTCACTTGGTTTTTTTGAAGACTTTTCACAGACTTTACCGCTGGTCATTTTTCATTTATCTTTTTTCATATTTTATAGTTGTCTGCTTATCTTCCATTCTTCCCCTATTTTGTTTTTTTTTTTTTTTTCGTTATCCTTTTCATTTTTTTTCATTTTTATAGTTGTCTGCTTTTTTTTATGTTTTCGTTATCCTGTTCATTTTTATTTTAATACTCGCTTTTAATGTTTAGTCTCTCCTCTTCCTCATTCCTCTTCTAGAATTTACATATTTTCATTCCCCAGTATATAGCACTATCTAGATTTACCTATATCCAGTCCGTAAATTTATCTGTTCCTATTTGCCCATGCAAAATGAATTGTGTGAGAATCTCTGTATATGTGATGTATATTCTTAACCAAATATGATTATCACACGGTGAATGCTGTGAATGTCAGGGAATGCAGTACAATCTTCTCGCCGATGAAGAGAAGACGGGTGACATCATTGACGTGGTTCTACAGATGAATGAACTGGGCGGAAAATAGGGGGAAAAAGGATAGTTCTACTTAGAATCAGTAAGAGAGTTAAATGGTTGGTGATATATAATGAGGAAAGAAAGCTTGGAAAATTTGAGACTCACAGGACATATTGAAAGCCAAAGAGGCCGAGGGTAACTCCATAATGAGCTTGCGCGAATGGATAGCCGAAGAGGAACTAGAAGCTATAGTAAAAAGACAAATATTGCTTTGAGCTGCATAGAATAAGAAATTGTGTAGAGTCGTAATCGCTCGCGTCCTGAAGGGACACGGCACATAAAAAAGTCCAAGTGTTTTATGAATTCATCGAGGGTGATATTCGCTTTGTTGTTGTCTTGCATATTTTATTATATACCGTCCACTGGAATTATGAATTTTAATTGAAGCTTTTTTGTTGCTGTTATCGTCATCTATTTCTAACTTATAAGGTCTCTTTCTACACATCCTGTTTCTCTTTCTTTTCTTTCTTTCTTTCTTTCTTTCTTTCTTTCTTCATATTCTTTTTCACTTTTTCTTCTTTTCCCCAATTTGTTCTCTCTCTCTTTCTTTCTTTCTTTCTCTCTCTCTCTCTCTCTCTCTCTTATTCGCATGTTCTTTTCCTCTATGTACATTTCTCTTACTTTTCTCTCTATCATACCCATTTGGATGCTATTTTCACTGTTTTTTTTCTCTTCCTCCCACTCCCTTAGGCTTCTCTTTCTTTCCTTCTCACGTACCGTACAAGACTACAACTATGGCTCTTTTCAAGGTCTTCGGATCAATGAAGAGACTTAAAAAAGAACTTTTCATATATTTATTGTCTGTTATTGACTTTACAGTTATTTTTTTGCCCGTCTCTTTTCCCTTGTTTATTATATATATATATATTTGTGTGTGTGTGTGTGTGAGAGAGAGAGAGAGAGAATCTTTTTCTTTCTCTTTATATTTTTTTATTTCTATCTTCCGTTATAGATTTCTCTGTATCTTTCGTTCTCTCTTTTTCCAAACACGTGCCGTGCGCATGCGTGTAGGCGGAAGTGCAAAATAAAAAATGCATAATATCTGGGAATCAGAAATGAGCGGGAAAGTTGCAAGTCAGATGCAGTACGCACGCGCACAAAGAAACACTTTTAAGTGGATTGCGCGAACATACAAGGTCGACAAATGAAAGCGTCTTTTTTCCCGCCATTAGTTTTCTTCTTGCAAAAGCAATTTAGTCATACTCGTCGAGTTTCGTTGTTTGTCATCCATTCAGCCTCTACTTTAATCGGAACGTCAACATTTTAGACACAGTAGAATTGAGAACCTGTCACTACTCGAACGCTACTTCCACGGCTAACGTTTAGATGGGCTGTATTCTTTAGTTTCGCTAGGACATGCTCTATCACTTCCATAGTGTCGAAATAGCTGCATTTCTGCTCTATTTCAAATTCCACTCAGAGAGTTTGTTTTTTGGGTTTTTTTTTACAAAGAACTGCCACTTCATGACACAGATTCCAGCATTTTTTTAAGCATTCACCACAAAGCATGACAGGAGTGCCACCTTTACGCAGGGGATTACGAAAAGTGAAAGTGAGAGAAAAGAGTGGGTGTAGAGGGTGAGGAAAGAAAAAACAAGAACAGCGATCAAGGCGAAAGAAGATGGCGACTGACGTTGCATTTAAATTTTTAAAGACTGTAGTAATCAGAGAAGCAAGTGAGTAGAAGGGGGTTTCAATATCGGGAAGTACGAGAAAATAAACTGTTAAAGTAGAAGTGGTGGTCATACTTAAATATCCCAATAATAAAACTATGGGATCTAGATGCCAATCTAGTAGCACGCTTAAATCCATGTACTTGGAGCGCGAGAGAAAAAGTTCATCAGAACAGTGGCCATGAAAATGTTTCTAGAAAAGACAGAGAGAAGCCACATCGCGTCTGTGAAAGAGAGAGTCTGAAGTCTAGAAGCCCATTAAGGACCGTTGACATTACAGATCCTTATATATGCTTCACTGAATACTTTAGTATTGACCTACAATCCATGGGGTTTACGGCCGTATCCCTTTAAAACACCGGTTCTCTTACGATCACCGAATTTAAGCAACTAGGAGCCTGGTCAATGCCTAGATGGGTGAAGTACTCGTGGAAGTGCGTGTGGAGCAATAGATACCCTTGAGAAATGTCTGAATCCAATTCTTCTCCCCCAGGTGTGGGTTAAGTAGTATCACTTGTATCAGTTTAAGTCTTATTATGTCCTAAAAATTCTTACAACGAATGATTTAACTGAGTTGTAGCATACATACAGACGATAATGGATATGTTCCCATTCATATGACGATAGTAGTAAATACTGTATGTTGGTCTGCAGTTAGAGATTCGTCTCCATCTGTGCTGGTCAAACTCCTTTCCCTCCGGACAGAGAGGATCTCCACACGAGGAGATACCTCACATTAAATTCGGCCTTGTGCCACGTCTGATCGTTTCGGGCTGTTGATAGATATCCTACAGTTGGAGATTCATTGCGGAATTCACTTCGACTCACTTCTATCAGTTGACTACTTCTACGCGCCGCTGGCGAATCTTATATGTGTTGTTCTTGTCCTAAGTATTATTGTTCATTACCAAACTTAGTTTGATTATTCTATTCAGTAACCTTCCCTAGGTTATAACAGTTTGAGATAAGACATTGGAATAATATATTCCCCTCCCACTAAGTCTGGACAACTCCTATACTAGACTGAGTAATTAAATCTTAAATTTAGAGACCAGAAACAAAAACCTAATTCTATAAGATTTTATTGAACTTTTCTGAATCTATTTGGTAGTAACCTGAATTTCGTAGAAATATTTCATGGTCTGTCATTGTATTAAAATAAGCATGCACAGGCACACAAACATACAATTTGAAGGAAATAGAAATTGTGTCTCGAGGGCTAATTGCCCTTTCTGTCTGGCAACAACAGCTGAATAATAGGAAAAGAGTAGAGGCTGAAAATGTCAGGCTTTTTGTAGACATTTATATGAATCCTTCCGTATTTAAACTGAAAATATTTTCTAATAAATGGTTTTTATAAGCGTAGCGTAGATCGACACAAGGTCGAGACTATTTAGTCGTAATTGCTCTAGCGAAATCTTTTCTAATAAATGCCGTGTTTAAATGGATAAACAATCTAGATTTGAAATCTTATCATCCCGCCATCAGCAAAACGACGTCTACCGTATTAGAATTTTAAAAAGCCGGCTGTTTTTATTGCAATGTTTCAGTCGCGTACACTCCTGCTTTCTAAGGTTTCTTATTGTGTTCTGGAATGTTAAATTTTGCTCCGAAAAGGCAACTTTTAATCGTTTCATCCGAAGCAGGCCAATAAAGCTACGAAGACGCGACAACTGACATTGCATTGAATTTTTGGAAGATAAAAGTTGGCTGGAAAACAAGAAGCCGGAAGAGAGTTCCACAAACGATAGAAGACGGCGTAAGCATAGACCTTACGGTTGCATCTAGTTATTTCAACTGTAAAATTATGAGACCTTGTCACCAATCTAGTACACCGCTTGAATTCATAGAGTTTAATTACCATAGAGGAAAGTAATACTTATTTGGCAAATACAAAAACGCGGTAAAAGCGTATGTTGCATGTTGAAGAGTAAATACCCTAAGGATGTATTCTTCGCTGTTAAAATACAAAAAAGAAATTTTCTTACAAAATATTATCTACCATGAAGTCCTATAAAATTAAATTAAATTAAATAAGTTATTAAACCGTGAAGTAGGGATTTTGTCAAAGTATTTTTCCAAACAAATCAGCTTATTCAAATTTCATCGATTAGTTTGAGAAAATGGACGAAACGTTTTTAAATCTCGACAAAAACCGTTAACGAAAATTTTAACAATACTAAATGCTGTGAGGTTGCAAAAAAATTTTATTATATATGAAAGGAAGGCGAAAAATAAGTCGCTGTTTTTGTTGTTTTTTTGTTTGTTTTTTTTTTTGATTGTTTGTTTGTTGCAAAAAAAAATAAATGTAATACTACTAATAAAAACAAAAAATAAAAACAATCCAAGCTGCTTAACATCGTGGAAATGACGAGCTTAATTGCGTTTATACACGCTCAGCAGTTCATTGGAAACCGACTTAAACAAATCTCCACCACCTTTCACCGTCGTTTTTGTTCAAGTCATTCCACGCCCGGATTTTGGCTCGCGTGGGTCTTCGTAATTGATTTTCACTACACTTGGCTGCAACATCCTTCAAGCAGGTGTGTAACACGAACGAAACAAAAGAAAACTAGCTTTTCTCACTACCGGTCATTTCTAAGCCATCAATATTTTACACCTGCTTGTGCCAATCGGCCCTCCGAGTTTCAGCCTTAGATGCACGCCACCTTGTCCGCTTCTACACCTACAGCCAACATCGAGGCTGTCCAGTTAACTTAAATGTCCAGTCAACCGAATAAAATAGCGTATTGCCCATTGAAAAGACCGCCTTGTAGATCACTCGCTAACGACACGTTCCGTCGTCTAGAAGAGGCGTCAGCGGTACGACAACCGCTTCCGACTTTCTCAATTAATACAAAAAGCAACCAAGCGAAACGAAATGATACGTCACTTCCCATCAGATCATCTGATTATGCCTGCTGACCAATCAGTGATACTAATTTAGCTTTTAAACATCCGGCTTTGAATAATTATCTATCTCTAACTTTCTCTCTGTCTATCTGTCTCTCTCTCTCTCTCTCTCTCTCTCTCTCTCTCTCTCTCTCTCTATATATATATATATATATATATATATATATATATATATATATATATATTTCCCTTTCTTACGTATGGATATAGGGTGCTTTATTTTAAAAAGAGTTTTTCAAGGTACTAAAATAATAACACTTCTTTTATTTAGCTGTTGAACGCGCTTAGCGATTTTTCAAAATGGGCGGCCTATTTTATAATAGCGTTCCCGGTATCTATTGTTTTTCTTTCGTGTTTTTTAAGGAATTCAGTAATTTGCCAAGAGTGCAAAATAATTTATCTTTTATTTATTAGAATATTCAAGTTCTTAATTACTATAATTTATACTTTCTCTTCCATGAATAAATTGCAATATATTCTTTTTTTCCTCTTTATCTTATTATCATATACCATTCTATTCATTTTTTTTTTCCTGTTTCCCTTCTCGGACTGCTTCTTGTCATTGGTTTTGGCCTGATATCTCGACTCCTGCCATTTCCCCACCGCCGTAACGTAGTGGTGGGGAAGCCCTTTTCTATAAGTATTCTTATGGTAATTTTACTAATGAGCTTTTCTCATTTGCACCTCAACCTTACGAATTTAAGTGTAGCACTAAGCTGGCAATTAGACCTCGTTATTTTCCTCTTAAAATATTTAGATAAAACCGAAAGTTCTATTCTAATAGTTTCTTCTCAAGTAATTCTCGCCTGTAGAAATCTCTTTCGGCTTCCTTGCTTTCCAGTCAATTACAATCTTCAGTGGATATCGGCTCGGAATGAGAAAACAGAGAGCCGAGTTCGAATTCTAGTCGAGTTCGTTACATTCTCCTGCACCCAAATATTCTTGGGAAAGGTACGAATTCGTCTCTTCTCCTCCCAGCTATGGGTTGAATAGCAGGACAGACTGGATTCTATAGCCTTGGTTGGCAACCAGTCTACCACAGTAAGAAACGTTAACCTACTGCTGGAAAAATCTACCTAATCATTTATGAATCGAACGAGATGTGATTGTCCAGGCGGGTATCACGTATGGTACTTAATTTTATTTAAAAGAACACTGAGAACAAAAAGGATTAACAGTGAAATTTGGA